AGAAAAATAATCAACATTGAAGAAACAGAAAAAAGAAGAATGGGAAAGAAGAAAGAAGGAGAAGAAAGAGAAAAGAAAAAAACAATAATGTTCGAAATAATCACCTCGACATTGAAAACAAGAAAAGAAGAAGAAATGAGAAAGAAAGAGGAAGAAGTAAAAAACAATAGAGAAGATATTCGAAATAATCAACTCAACATTGAAAAAACAGAAAAAAAAGAGAATGAGAAAGAAGAAAGAAAGAGAGGAAAGGAAAAAAATAAGAAGAAAAGCAAAGGCAGAAGAAGAAGATCAGAAGAAAAAGAAGAAGAAGAGAAAAAAAAGCCAAACAATAGTGAAGATGTTCCCCGGACGAGGTGCGGCGCCCACTCCCCCCCCCCCCTACCACCTCCCCCCCCTCCACCTCCCGGAAGGATTGTGAAGATGAGTGATGTCGACTTCGCGGGCGGGGTGCGGTGGGGGGGGGGGCGGGGGGGGGGGGAGGGGCGGGCGGGGGTGCTTCGGCCCGGCAATTAGGAGTCGACTAATCAATCCTTCTCCACTCCTTGAGAGGGGATGGTGCAAGACGCGAGCCGAGGAGGAGGAGGAAGGAGGAAGGGCGGCTTGGGGTGAGGGGGAGGGATGGGGGGGGAGGCTTACGTCTCTGTTGGAGGGGGAGGTATTACGCACAGGTGTTTGCTGCTTAACCACACACACAGATGGGTATAATAAATAAATAAATATATATATAACATACATATATATATATATATATAATATATATATATATATGTATATTATATTATATATATATATATATATATATTATATATATATATATATATATATTATATATATATATATATATATATTTTTTTTTTTTTTTTTTTTTTATGTTATATATGTATATATACACACACACAAGTCCCTCCAACCGACAGGAAACCGACAGAAAACGCGTAGCAGGCAACCCAGGCGCTTCCCACACCGGGCGGCCGTGCTTGGCCGGCGGACGTTGGGCAGTAATAGCCACGTGCCCAGCTGGCATGGGGGGGGGGGGGGGAGGGAACAAGGGAGGGGGGGAGGGAAGGAAGGGGGGGAGGGAGGGGGAAGGGAAGGGGAGGGAGGAGGAAGGGAACAGGAGAGGGAGGAGGAGGGAACAAGGGGAGGGCCAGGAGAAGGAAACAGGGAGGGAGGAAGGGAACAGGGGATGGAGGAAGGGAACGGCGGGAGGGGGGAGGGAGGAAAGGGAACAGGGGATGGAGGGGAGGGAACAGTGGAGGGAGGGAGGAAGGGAGGGAGGGAGGAAACAGGAGGAGGGCAGGGGAGGGAGGGAGGCGGAAAACAGGCGGGTGTGTCCTTCAACCGTTAAAGTGAAGGGCGAAACAGCACAACGGGCGCACGCGAACGAGGAGGCTACGGGGTGGTGGCGGCTGCAGTGGGGGTCTCTCAAGGAGGGTTGGATGGGGGGAAGGGAGGGAGAGGGAGAGGGAGAGGGGAAGAGGTGGGAAAGAGAGGGAGAGGAAGAGGATGTGAGAGAGAGAGGGGTTGGCATAAGAGGAGAGAGAGAGAGAGGGAAGAGAGAGAGGGAGAGAAGAGAGAGAGAGAGAGAGAAGAGAGGAGAGAGGAGAGAGAGAGAGAGAGAGAGAGAGAGAGAGAGAGAGAGCGAGAGAGAGAGAGAGAGAGAGAGAGAGAGAGAGAGAGAGAGAGAGAGAGAGAGAGAGAGAGAGAGAGAGAGAGAGAGAGAGAGAGAGAGAGAGCGAGAGCGAGAGCGAGAGCGAGAGAGCGAGAGAGAGAGAGAGAGAGAGGAGAGGAGAGAGAGAGAGAGAGGAGAGAGAGAGAAGAGAGAGAGAGGAGAGAGCGAGGGAGAGAGTAGAGAAAGAGAGAAACAGAAAGGAGAGAGAGAGACGTAAACTATGCAAATAACACAATCCCTTCAGTGTCCGCATCCGTGTCAACTTACAGTAGGCAGACAGAGGTCGTCGTGTACGTGTTCAATAAACAAACAGGTCACCACAATACACCCAAACACAAACACACACACCAGTTTATACCGCCACAACACAACACTAAACGCAACAACACACATCAGACACACGCACACACACACTCACTCACACACACAAGACAAACACACACACGTACACACACACACACAACCACACACACGTAGACACAGACACACACACACGCACACGCCGAACGACACAGACACACACACACACACACACACAACACACACACACCACACCACACACAACACACAACACTCGCACCACAACATACATAGAAGCACAACCACAAAAAAACACAGACAACACACAACCTGTTTGCATTACCATCGCTAATTTCTAACACATTAAGGCCGTCGCTGAACATACTCAGGAATTCATGATATCCATCCCATGCCCCCCCCCCTCTCCATTCCTCCTCCTCCTCCTCTCTCCTCTCCGCCTTCACCTCCCCTCCATTCCTCGCTTCTCTTACACCTGGCGTCCCTCCTCCTCATTCCACTCCTCATACCGCCTCCTCGCTACCACCCCCCACTCCTGCGCCCGCCCGCCTCCTCGCTCCCTCCTGCTTCCTACCTTGCTCCTTCCATCCTTCTCATTCCTCCTCCTCCTCCTCGCCCGCCTCCTCCTCTTCCTCCCATCTCCATCCTCCTCCTCCTGCGTCTCCTGTCTCCCTCCTCCTTCCCCCGGCTCGTCTTCCTCCCCGCCCTCTCCTCTCTTCTTCACGCCCCTCCTCCCTTCCACTCTTCCTTCTCCATCCTTCTTCCCCCCTCCTCCCCCCCGTCTCCTCCTCCTCCCCTTCCCCCTAATGCTTTCTGGTCGGGTTGGTTATTTTTTCTTGTAATTACATTACGTTATACATGGAAATAACTTCGAAAAAAAAAAAAACAAACACGTTCCTACAACATCGTTATATGAACGAAAAAAATAATAAAATCATAATATCAAGATTATACTTGACGTTTATAATGCTCAGTTACATTATCAAAAGCGTTTTTTTAAATATAATATCCCGGCCAGAAATAGATTTTCGAAATATCCTAAAAATCAAAAGAAGCGACGATATATATATTTTTTTTTGAGGAGGATAGAAGCGTATCCTATTAGACTGAAATAACCTTGACGGAATTAGCTTCCCGAACAACAAGTAAACAACTTGATGGATAAAACAATCAAGACGTAATTAAGACAGCTTTTGGGCGGTGGATCATCAAAGGCGATCTGGGAATGGACGGAGAAGAAGCCGTAATATGGAAGAATTGATAAAGGGGGAGAGAAAACGAGAGATAAAAGGGAAAAGGGAGAGAACGAAAATACATCTTGGGACGGACGAAAAAAAAGCGTAATTTGGAAGAACTGATAAAGGGGGGAGAGAAAACGATGGATAAAGAGGAAGAGAGGGAGAGAACGAGAAAATAACATCTTGGGATGGACGGAGAAGAAGCCGTAATTTGGAAGAATTGATAAAGAGGGGAGAGAAAACGAGAGATAAAAAGGAAGAGAGGGAGAGAACGAGAAAATAAGATCTGGGAATGGACGGAGAAGAAGCCGTAATTTGGAAGAAATGATAAAGAGGGGAGAGAAAACGATAGATAAAAAGGAAGAGGGAGAGAACGAGAAAATAACATCTGGGAATGGACGGAGAAGAAGCCGTAATTTGGAAGAAATGATAAAGAGGGGAGAGAAAACGAGAGATAAAAAGGAAGAGAGGGAGAGAACGAGAAAATAACATCTTGGGATGGACGAAGAAGAAGCCGTAATTTGGAAGAATTGATAAAGGGGGGAGAGAAAACGATAGATAAAGAGGAAGAGAGGGAGAGAACGAGAAAATAACATCTTGGGATGGACGGAGAAGAAGCCGTAATTTGGAAAAATTGATAAAGAGGGGAGAGAAAACGAGAGATAAAAAGGAAGAGAGGGAGAGAACGAGAAAATAAGATCTGGGAATGGACGGAGAAGAAGTCGTAATTTGGAAGAATTGATAAAGAGGGGAGAGAAAACGATAGATAAAGAGGAAGAGAGGGAGAGAAGAAAATAACATCTTTGGGATGGACGAAGAAGCGTAATTTGGAAAAATTGATAAAGAGGGAGAGAAAAATGTGGAGAATAAAAAGGAAGAGAGGGAGAGAACGAGAGAATAACATCTTGGGATGGACGGAGAAGAAGCCGTAATTTGGAAGAACTGATAAAGAGGGGAGAGAAAACGAGAGATAAAAAGGAAGAGAGAGAGAGAACGAGAAAATAACATCTTGGAATGGACGAAGAAGCCGTAATTTGGAAGAAATGATAAAGAGGGGAGAGAAAACGATAGATAAAAAGGAAGAGAGAGAGAGAACGAGAAAACAACAACATTGTTATTAGGTTCGTAGAATTATTTGAATGATAATAAATAACAAATCAATTTGAGGAAAAAAATAATGACATCAGTTATAATGACATCACTTTGATGATGATAGAGATGATCACTTAATTCAATCCATTCATTTAGGGAAGTTCTAACCAAACAACAAAAAAAAATAATTAGTTCCACGTATTCCCTTAGACATCGTAATTAAACAACTAGAATAATCAATAAAGGAATCAAACCCGACGCTTCGTCTGGAGATTCCAATTAAAGGCGAAACCCGCGATTCCACTTTTTTGTCACGTTTCACCTCCGACGCATCGCCCCCCCCCCCCGATCGGAGATGGATCCTGCGTCGCCACTTTGGCAGGTTCAAAAGGCGTCTTGATCATCCCTCTTAAAAGGAGTTTATTGTTTATTTATGAGTATTTAAATCCCGCTTTACGGCGGAGAGCCTCGGCGCTATCCCAAGGTCGCTCCGGTAACGAGAATCTGACTAATACGGACGAGCGACCCTGGGCCGAGGCGGCGCTCGCCCCTCGCTCGTAATGGACTCCAGCGCCCATCAGTTCACGTCGAGATAATGGCTTTGTTCCCGCGTGTGGCTCTGCCGGCGATGTGATTAATTCCCGCGCCCACGAGAGGCGGCTCGCTCGCGCCCTCGCCCGCGACGGGCGTGGGAACAGGCGGCGACGGAGGGCCCGCGCGATGCAGGGACGGCGGGCCGCCCACGCTGAGTCAGCGCCAGGATCATGCGCGTGGGACATAGGCCTGCAACGCCAAGGACGCGTCCAGAGCCATCTGTGGGCGCGGGATCGCCGCCGTGGGTGCAACCGTGGGCGGAGGTAGATAATCGGCGTTTATGGCGGGACTCGGGGCGCGAGAGGGGACACGGGCGCCGCTCTCGGGCCTGACCACCGCCCGCGCCACCAGCCTCGCCGAGGGGGAATTTATGACCGGAGTCCCCAGGAGCCTTTTATCCGGCGCTGCGTATGGGCGGAGCGGGCGTGGGAGGCTTAGCACGTCGGCCGATGTCACAGAGGGTGAAAAAGGACTGGCGAGGGAGGAGGACGAAGGCGGTGCGCTGATAAAGGGAATAAAAAGAGTAACACACGGGATATCACACACAAAAAAAAAAAAACATATTTCTCAAAACAACACGAAAAAACAACAACAACACCCCGATAGACGAAAGACACAAACACACCCTCACAATATACTCTACATTCATGCCCTGCATCCGTAAAGAAAGAAAGAACAATCAATAAAGACAATAACATAAAGATTATCTGAATTCCGAGAAGGAAACTGGCGAACACTCCCTGTGGCAAAGTGGCTGCTGCTCTGATATAAAACGTCCGATCGTATTTCATTACTCTTGAATATTCAGCCGAACACGTGAGTCAACTTGGAACCAGGTGTGCTAATTTGCATGGGGTTCGTTGTTCATTTGCATGGGGTTCGTTGTTCATTTGCATGGGGTTCGTTGTTCATTTGCATGGGGTTCGTTGTTCATTTGCATGGGGTTCGTTTTTCATTTGCATGGGTTCGTTGTCATTTGCATGGGGTTTGTTTCATTGCATGGGGTTGTTGTTCATTTTCATGGGGTTCGTTGTTCATTTTCATGGGGTTCGTTGTTCATTTGCATGGGGTTCGTTGTTCATTTTCATGGGGTTCGTTGTTCATTTTCATGGGGTTCGTTGTTCATTTCATGGGTTTTCGTTGTTTTCATGGGGTTCGTTGTTCATTTTCATGGGGTTCGTTGTTCATTTGCATGGGGTTCGTTGTTCATTCGCAATTTGATATTTCTAATTTATCAGAAATGGAGCAGGTTTTTTTTCCCTTTCTTCGATAGATAGGTGTGTTCGAGAAGGAAAAAAAGAACGTGGATTAAATAGGTTCCTAATATGGTGTCACTCGCTTACGCCAAGATAATTCTTAGGGGCGAATATACTTTGCGAAAGGTCGGTAAAAACGTCTTTATTGCGTTTGTAATTAGTTTGGAAAATACTGGACTCTCGCTAGGGATGTTTTTTTCTCTTTTTTTTCTTTTACATTTTTTTTTTTTACTTTGTCTTTTTTCTCAAAAATTTCCTTTTTTTGTCTTTTTCTTAAAAATCTCCTTTTTTTCTGCTTTTTCTTTCAAATTTCCTCTTTTCTTACCTCCTTCTTTAAAACTTCTTTCTTTTTTCTCCTTTTCTTTCAAAATTCCTTCTCTTTTTTCTCCTTTTCTTTCAAAATTCTTCTCTTTTTTGTCCTTTTTCAAATTCCTTCTTTTTTTCCTTTTCTTTCAAATTCTTTTTTTTCTCCTTTCTTCACACACTTCTTCCTCTCTTTTTTGCCCTTTTCACACACTTCCTTCTCTTTTTTCTTCCTTTTCTCAAAACTTCCTTCTCTTTTTTGCCCCCTTTTCTCACACACTTTCTTCTCTTTGTTTTACCCTTTTCACACACTTTCTTTTTTTTCTCCTTTTTCTCAAATTCCTTCTCTTTTTTGCCCCTTTTTCTCAAAATTCCTTCTTTTTTCTCCTTTTCTTTCAAAATTCCTTCTCTTTTACCACCTTTTCTCACACACTTCCTTCTCTTTTTTACTCTTTTCTCACACACTCTCCCTCCTCTTTTTTGCCTTTTCTCACACACTTCCCTTCTCTTTTCTCCTTTTCTTTCAAAATTCCTTCTTTTTTTTACCCCTTTTTCTCACACACTTCCTTCTCTTTTTTACTCTTTTCTCACACACTTCCTTCTCTTTTTTCTCCTTTTCTTTCAAAATTCCTTCTTTTTTACTTTTTTCACAACACTTCCTTCTTCTTTTTTTCCCTTTCTTTCAAAATTCTTCTTTTTCTCCTTTAAATTCTTCTTTTTTTTACCCTTTTTTCTCACACCCTTCCTTCTCATTCTTAATATCTTCGTCTTCTCGGTCTATCTTCAAGCGCCGTGGTCGAGAGGCTGTTATCTCGGCTCGTCCACTCGACCACAACATGGCGCTGGCCTTGGAGGTGGGGGTGGTGGGGGCGGGGGGCGGGGGGGGGGTGGGGGCGGGGGGGGCGTATGATATCACGGCCCCCCACCGTTTCACGCCCTCGCTTCCAACGCGCCATCGTTCGCCTAGTCTTGGTCTTTTTTTTAGATCTATTTTCTTTCTAATTCGTTCGTTTTTTTTTGTCTTTTTTGTTTGTTCGTCTGTCTCTGGCTGTGTGTCTGTCTCTTTCTCTCTCTCTTCCTCCATCTTCCCCTTCTTTCTCTCTCTCTCTTCCTTCCTCCCTCCCTCTCTCCTCTTTCTCCCTTCCCCCTTTTTTTTCTCTCTCCTCCTCCTCCTCCTTTCCTCTCTCTCTCTCTCTCTCTCCCCTCCTCTCTTTCTCTGCTCCCTCCCTCCCCCCTCTCTCATTCTTCCCCCCTCCCTCTCCCCTCTCCCCCCCTCCCCCTCTTCCCTCNAACACTGTACCTAGGGGGGTGGGAGGTGGGGGTGGGGGGGGGCGGATCAAGAGGGGGTGGGGGGTGAGGCGATTCCGAACCGATTAGTGTTTTTTTTGTGGTGTGTGTGGTGTGCGATTTATTTTAAAAAGAATACTTTTGGAATTTTTTTTTCTTTTTTTTTTTTTTTCCTTTTTTTTTTTAGCGAAGGGGAAAATTCTATTGGATTCTTTGATGGCGATGCCCGTTGTATAGAAGGTAGAAAGGATTAAGCGAAATTATGTGCGTTTTTTTTTTGTGTGTGTACGTGTGTACGTGTGTTGTGGTGTGTGTGTGTGTGTACGTGTGTGCGTGTGTGTGTGTGTGTGTGCGTGTGTGTGTGTGTGTGGTGTGTGGTGTTGTGGCCCGGGCAGTCTAAGACTCGAGTGAATAGAAAAAAAAAAAATATTTCCCTCTCTCTCTCTCTCTCTCTCTCTCTCTCTCTCTCTCTCTCTCTCTCTCATCCTCTCTCTCTCTCTCTCTCATCCTCTCTCTCGTCCTCATCTCCTTTCCATCAAGAGTACCCTGGTCACTGATCTCCTTCACGTTACGACCATTAATTACCATTCAAACAAGGAGGAAGAAGAGGTGAGAACGAGAGAGAGAAGAAAGAAGAGGAAGAGGGGAAAGGGAAAGAAAGAAGAAGGAGAGGAGACGAGAAGAGAAGAGAGGAGAGGAGAAGGGAAGGTGAAGAAAGGAGAGAGGAGAAGGGAAGAAGAAAGGAGAGGAGATGGGAAGAGGAAGAGAAGAGAAGAGAGGAAAAGAGAGGAGCAGAAAGAGAAAAGAGACGAGAAACAAGACCAGACAAAAAACAAGACAAGAAGAAAAAAAAAGAGAGAAAAACGCTAATAACCCCAATAAAAGAAACAGAAAAGAGTTCCAAAGAGAATAATGGATAAGGGATAAGGGGATGGGGTGTGGTGTGGGGGGGGAGGGGAGATGCTTGAAAGTACGACACCTAATCTGTTCAAGTTGAAGTGTCCAATGCAAATGACACGCCGACAGAGTACGAAACACTCCTGAAGTGACTTTTTTTTTTAACTTCATTTCATTTTTGCGAGTGACTTTTTTTATTTCATCTCCTTTGTGAAGTGACTTTTTCATTCCTTTCATTTGGAGAGAGAGGGAGAGAGGAGGTTCAGGGAGGGATGGGAAGAGAGGGAGGGAGGGGAAATAAGGGGAGGGGGAAGGAGGAGGAAGGAGGAATATGAATGGAGTGAGAAGTGATGGTCAAAATGAGAGATGAAAATAAAACAAGAAAAGGGGAAAATGTGGAGTAAGGATAAAAAATAGAAACACACACTACCACAAAAACACAAACACCACACTCCCATCTCTTCCCCCCGTTCCTCCCACATCCACCCTACCCCCACTCACCACCTCCACCAACACACCAACCACCACCAAATTCCAAAACTCCCCCATCCCTTCCTCCCCTACCCTGCCCCACTTCTCTTCCCCTACCTCCCACTCCCCTGCTATCGAGCGCGGAGAGATCAGGAGGAGCGAGCCACCCATTCTTCTAGCATCCGCGCGCCATTATGGCCGGGCCTGTATCAGCGTGCGCGCGCGCCATAGTTCCTTCAGGCGGGGGACTTATAATTCAGGCAGATTATCATAGATATCGAGAGTAATACGATAGAAAATCTATCGCACCATGTAGACCACTCCACACAGAGAGAGGTCACGGTCCGCCGACCGCAGGTCTCTCTCTGTGTCTGTATAGCTGTGCATCGCGCGCGCGAGAGCGCGAAAGGCGAGTAGGACGGAGTGGAATGAGAGCCCAGAAGAGAGTGGTCGATAAAGGAGGAGGACTATGACCATAGTAGAGGGAGTATGTGAGTATAGTGAGAGGGAGTGAGATGAAGGAGCCGCGGAGACGACACGCCCCACGCACGAGTGAGTGAAAGGAGAGTAGGTGCAATACAGAGGGAAGAGTGTAGAGCAGTAGGACACGATGCTCACACCGCCAAGGAAGCGCATGTGTATGTAATGATAGAGGGGGAGAGAAGAAGGATGGAGTGAGGAAGGAGGGAGAGAGGAAGAGAGGAAGAGGTGAGAGGCAAGAGAAGAAGGATGGAGTGGAGGAAGGAGGCAGGAGAAGGAAGGAGGGAAAGAGGAAGAGAGGGAGAGGGATGGGGAAGGGAAAGAATGTGAGGAGGGGTGGAAAGGGGAGAGAGAGGGGAGAGGAGGAAGGAGGAGATAATGATCAGGAGAGAGAGCGAAATAGGATGAGAAGATGAAATAAAGAGAAAAAAGTAAACCCTACGAAATTAATGATAATCATCGAAAACAGAACATGATAATGAATAACAACAATAAATCAACAATAAAATAACAATAAAAACATCGCAACAACACGAACAACATCCATCTCCCTCTCCCCATTTTTCCCACCTCTCCCTCTCTTATCCCATTTTCCACCTCTCCCTCTCTCTCCTCTCCTCCCTCTCTCCCCTTCCTTCGCTCCCTCACTCCCGCACCCTCACCCCACATCCCAGCATTTTCCACCTCTCCCTCTCTCTCCCTCTCCCTTCCTTCCCTCCCTCACTTCCCCCTTCATCCTTCCCTCTCCCCCTCTCTCCCTCACTTCCTTCACTTCACTCCCTCCCTCACCTCACCCCCCACCTCACCCTCTCTCCCTCCCCTCACCCTCACCCCTCCTCCCCCTTCTCCTCCCCCCCCACTAAGTCGACAGCGGGTAAGTTAGACGCAGAAACATCCACAGCTCATCAGCAATACCTTATGATAGCGCGGGGGGAGGGGGGAGGGGGATATCAACCCGGATTTCACTAATGGAAATATAATGAAAAATATTTCCATCTAACCTCGCTTTATCCTGCCGGCGCTCTGAGCCCCCCCCCCCGAGTCGTCAAGGTGGGGTGGGGTGGGGTGGGGTGGGGTGGGGGGGGGGGGAGGAGGGGTTGCCGGTGCGCGATAATGGTCGCTCTCTTTCCGAATGCCTTGAGGAAGCGTTATGGCGCGGTCTCCTGTGTTGTTTGTGTAGAGAGATGTTGTGGGGGGTGTTGTGTGGGGGTGGGGGTGGGGGTGTTGAGGGGGTGTGGGGGGGTGTTTGTAGGGTGTGTGTGTGGGGGTGTGTGGGTGGGGGGGGGGGTTGTTGTAGGGGGTGTGGGGGGTGTTGTAGGGGTGTGGGTGGGGTTTTGTGGGTGGGGGGTGGTGAGGGGGGTGTTGTGTGGGGGAGGGTGTGTATTTTGTGTTGTGTTGTGTTGTGTTGTATGTGTGCGTACGTGTGTGTGTGTGTGTGTGTGTTCAACCCCCCCCCCCACCTCCAAACAACACCAAAAATCCAGATCAAATGACAAAAAAACACAGACGCATACAGCCCCAGCCTCGTTCTTGAAACTTGGATAGCCAGTCCGTAGACTTTCCCGTCGGCCCGCAAAATTTTTTCGCCGAAACACACAATGGCCGGCTGGGGGGGGGGGGGGGGGAAAGGGGGAAAGGGAAAGGGGGGAAAGGGAAAGGGAAAGGGAAGGGAAAGGGGGGGAAGAGGGGAAGGGGGGGAAAGGGGGAAGGGGGGAAGGGGGGGGAAGGGGGGAAGGGGGGAAGGGGGGGAGGGGGGGGAAAGGGGGGAAGGGGGAAGGGGGGGGGAAAAGGGAAAAGGGGGGGGGAAAGGGGACAGACACCCTGGCGATAAATAGACGGCTCGCCATCTGCCAACACTGCCTCCCTCCCTTTTTTTTTTCAATATTTCCCTAATGATCTAGGCTTTCGGGCAAGGGGGGGGAGGGGGGAGGGAGGGAGGGAGGGAGAGGGCTATTCCAGAGAAGCTTGCCAAATTTTCTGCACTTTCTCTATCGTCATCACAGAGTCATTACGATAATGCCAGGAGGGAGAGAAGGAGGAGGAGGAGGAGAGAAGGAGGAGGAGGGAGAGAAGGAGGAGGAAGGGAGAGAGGGAGGAGAGGAGGGGGAGGCAGGGAGGAGGGATAAAGGAAATACAAGGAGAAAAAGATGACGAAGAAAGGAGAGAAGAAAAGATAAGGGGGAGGGGGAGAAATAGAGGAAGGAGAAGAAAAGATGGAGGGAAAATAGAGAATGAGAGAATAAAAGAGAGGAGGAGGAAGGAGAAGAAAAGATGGAGGGGAAAACAGAGAAGGGAAGAATAAAAGAGAGGAGGAGGAAGGAGAAGAAAAGATGGAGGGAAAACAGAGAAGGAGATAATAAAGAGAGGAGAGGAAGGCGAAGAGAAGATTGAAGGGGAAAACAGAGAAGGAGAGAATAAGAGAGAGAAGAAAATGGTAAGTAAATCGAGGTCTAAATCCTTGATGATGAAGCGATACCAGTCGAGAGATTTCGTTGCCATGGAAACAGGAAACCCCTTCTCTTATTTAGAGCGAAAGGGGATGAAAGACACGACGGAAGACAAAAATATAGACACAGCAATTATGAGATAAGACAAGCGCGTATATGATGGCGTCGTTGTCTTTTATTTGGTAATGATAATGATAGTGATAAGGAGAGTCTATGGTAGACTCTTTCTCTTTCTCTCTCTCTCCTCTCTCTCTCTCTCTCTCTCTCTCTCTCTCTCTCTCTCTCTCTCTCTCTCTCTCTCTCTCTGTCATATTATGAATGTCTCTTCTCATGTTACGTCTTTCATGATCCTATGCCCGCTATTCTTCCTCTCTCCTCCTCGCTCTCGACCTCTCCCTCTCTCTCGCTCACTCTCTCGTCTTCTCTCTCTCTCTATCCTCCAGTCTCTTTCTCCTCTTCTCTCTCTCCCTCTCAGTCTCTCTCTCTCTCCCACTCCCCCGCTTCCATCTCCTCATCCCTACACTCACCTCCCCCCACCCCAACACCCTCTTCCCCTATCCCCCATCCCCCACACCCACACCTCCTCCCCCGCCCACCCTACCCCTCTCTCACGCCCATAACCATGATTGTAGGTTATCAAATATGCATCTGCCTGCCTGGTGGTGGCGCGGCCGTAGGAGGCATCTCGAACCTGAGGGAAACGGAGGCCTGTGACAAGTGTACAGGGCGTGGGGGGGGGGGGTGAGAGGAGAGAGGAGGGTGAGGGAGAGAGGAGGGAGAGGGGGAGAGGAGGGAGGAGGGAGAGAGAGGGATGGAGAGGTTGAGAGAGATAGGGAGAGGACAGGATAAAAAGGAAAGAGGAAGAGGAAGAGAAAGAGATAGATAGATAGATAGATAGATAGAGATAGAGAGAGAGAGAGAGAGAGAGAGAGAGAAAGAGAAAGAGAGAAAGAGAGAAAGAGAGAAAGAAGAAAGAGAGAAAGAGAGAGAGAGAAAGAGAAAGAGAGAGAAAGAGAAAGAGAGAGAGAGAAAGCACAGAGACAGACAGACAGACAGACAGGAGAGAGAGAGAGAGCGAAAGAAAGTGAGACACACACACAATAACAATATAAAACAAACCAAATATTCAGAAACACCACGACGCCAAGAATCGAGACAATAACAACGATGCAATAAAAGCCATCCCCCCCCCCTTTCCCCCCTCTCTCTCCCACTCCCCCTCTCTCTCTTAATATCTCTTCTCTCCCCTTTCTCCCTTCTTCAATTTCTCTTTCTCAATCTCTTTCACTTTCTCCCTCAATCTTTCTTCCTTTGTCTCTCCCTCTCTCCCTCAATTTCTCTCTCTATCTTTCTCTCTCTCCTTCTTCTCTCTCTCTTCTAATCTCTCTCTCTTTCTCCTCCAATCTCTCTCTCTCTTTCTCCCCAATCTCTCTCTCTCTTTCCATCCTCAATTCTCTCTCTCTCTCTTTCTCCCCCAATCTCTCTCTCTCTCTCCCTCTTTCACTCTCAATTCACTCGCACAGACCAACCCCAAAACCAACCAACCAAAAACCAACACACAAACACACAAAAACAAACGCACAAACAAACAAACGAACAACAAACAAAACACACACAAACCAACCCAACACACTAACAAACAAACGCACAAACAAAACAAACACAAGCCACAAACTCACAACAAAACGCACAAACAAAGAAACAAACACACAGGAATCCGAATCACAAACAACAAGGAATTCCCGAACGCATGAGAGCCTCGTAAATATTTCTCCCTGACATCATTCCCGCCTCCCTCCTTCTCCTTCTCTCTCTCCTCTTCTTTTTTTCTCTCTCCTTTCCTTCTCTCTCTCTCTCTCTCTCTCTTCTCCTTCCTTCTCTCTTCTCCTTCATTTTTTCCTCTCCTTTTCATTCTCTCTCTCTCTCTCCTTTCCTTCTCTCTCTCTCTCTCCTTTCCTTCTCTCCTCTCTCTCTCCTCTTCTCTCTCTCTCTCTCTCCTTTCCTTCTCTCGCTCTCTCTCTCTCCTTTCCTTCTCTCGTCTCTCTCTCTCCTTTCCTTCTCTCGCTCTCTCTCTCTCTCCTTTCCTTCTCTCGCTCTCTCTCTCTCCTTTCCTTCTCTCTCTCTCTCTCTCTTCCTTTCTTTCTCACGTTTCTCTCGCCCTTCGTTGTTCGCTCGGTCTCTGTCTCTCTCTCTTTCTTTCGCGATGGTCGCTCTTTTTCATCTGTTCCTTATTCGTTATCTTTCGTGGTATATTTTCTCTCTTCTTATTTTTTTTTGTCTCTTCTTTGTCTCCTCTTCCTAATTTTCTGGTTTTCCCTCCTGTCTTCTTTCCAGTCTCTCATCACCATCTAACATTTATCTCTCTTTATTTGTACCTCCTCATTCTTATCCTCCTTTTCTTTCCTTCCTCCTCCTCCCTCTCCTCTCTCCTCCTCCTCCTCCTCCTCCTCCCTCCTCCTCCTACCTCCTCTCTCCCTCCCTCTCCCTCTCCCTCTCTCTTCTCCTCCTTCCTCCTCCTCCTCCTCCTCCTCCTCCTCCTCCTCCTCCTCCTCCTCCTCCTCCTCTCCTCCTCCTCCTCCTCCTCCATTTACCCTCACACTGTTGTTGTTGGAGGCAGTCGAGCCTAAAAGCAGAGGCAATTTTGGCACCATTTGCTCACTTATGAATATTGAAGCAAGTAATGTTGTTAAGGCGAGGGAGAGGGGGCGAGGGAGCGAGGGGGGGAGGGGGCGAGGGGCCGAGGGGGTGGGAGGGGAGGCTGAGGGGCGGGCGAGGGAGCCGAGGGGGGGCGAGGGGAGGCTGAGGGGGGAGAGGGGGAAAGGGGTAGAAGGAGGCTGGGGGGAGAGGGGGCGAGGGGAGAGGAGCGGAGGGGGGGGGGGGAGGAAGGGGAGGCTGAGGGGAGGCTGAGGGAGGGGGAAGGGGGGAGAAGGAGTGACGGGGAGACTGGGGGGAGTGGGAGGGAAAAGAGAGGGCGATGATGAAACAAGGAGAGGGGGATGAGGATAATAGAAAATATATATAATATATATATATATATCGGTGCGAAGAGAGAGATAAATAGATAAGTAGATAAATAGAGATATCGAGAAAGATATAGGAAGATTACGAATGATATCAGCTGTTCCATGGCGATACTTGGGCCAGTGTTACGCATTATAAGATATATTTGCCTTTGATGAAAATATGAATAAATGAGAAGGTCGCTGTGTCTGAGTTTTTGGTCTCAAAGTCTTTTTGATCGAAAAGCTCACTCAAAAAGTCTCTCTGTCTCTGTGCTGTCTGTTTGTCTTCTGTCTGCCTATCTCTCTCTCTGTCTCTCTCTTTCTCTCGTCTCTCTCTCTCTTCTCTCTCTCTCTTCTGCTCTCTCTCTCTCTCTCTCTCTCTCTCTCTCGTCTCTCCTCTTTCTCTCTCGTCTCCAACTATCCTCTATTCCTTTCCTCATCCTCTCCCTCTCTCCTTCTCTCTCATTTCCTCTCCCTCCATTCTTCATCCTCTCTTCCTTTCCCCTCCTCTAATTTCCTCATCCTCTTTCTCTCTCTCTTCCATTCCTCATCCTCTTCTCTCCTCTCTCTCTTTTTTCCCTCCCTTCCCTCTTTTCTCTAAATCGCTGAACCAGATTCCGAAGAATGTTGTGTCGGCCGCAAAAGGGGGGTGGGGGTGGGGTGGGGGAGAGTGGGGGGGTTGGGGGGGAGGGGCTAGGTTGCGGGGTCTTCCAGATAATTGAATTATAAAAGGGGAAAGGAAAACCTCTCCTCCTCACTCTACTCCCTCCTTTATTTTCTCCCCTTCTCCGTCTCTCTCTCTCTATCTCTATCTCTCTGTCGGTTATTTCTTTTCTTTTCTCTTTCTCTCTCTCTCTCTCTCTCTCTCATCCTCTCTCTCCTCTCTCTCTCTCTCTCTCTCTCTCTCTCTCTCTCTCTCTCTCTCTCTCTCTCTCTCTCTCTCTCTCTCTCATCTTATGATAATAATAATGATAGTGCACGATAAAAGAAAAAAATTTCGTAATAATAAGAAATAATTGTATATGATAGTAATGACCGCTTTACGATAATGAAGATGGACACTAATGACACCAATGATGAAAATAATAATAATAATAAAAAAAAAATAATAATGCAATGCTAATAAATTTTCTCTCTCTCTTTTCTCCTCTCCCTATCCCTCTCTCCCTTCTCTCCCTCTCCTCTCTCTTCCTCCCGCCCACAAATACAACACCTTACCCCCCCACGCCCGTCTTTTCGCTCACCCCCCCCCCCCCATTCCACCTTCCCGCCCGCCGCCCACAGAGACAAACATGGTGCTGGAGTTCTTCGTGTTGGTCTAAGTGGGCGGGGATAGAGAGAAGAGAGAGAGAGAGAAAAGAGATAGAGGAAAAATGGAAGAGAAAGGAGACGTAAAGAAATTTAAGGAGAGACGAATTTAGGAGGAGGAGGAAGAAGGAGGGGGGAGAGGGGGAGGGGGAGGGGGGAGGAGGAGAATGAGGAGGAGGAGGAGGAGGAGGAGGAAGGAGGCGGAGGAGGAGGAGAGGGAGGAGGAGGAGGAGGAGGAGAAGAGGAGGAGGAGGAGAGAAGAATCAAGAAGAAGAAGAAGAAGAGAATGAGACGAGAAGAAGCAGAAGCCAAAGACATTTAACCAAAAGCAAATTTTATCTATTTTTTTTTGTTTTTTTTTCAACTTCTTTTCTATCTTTGTTTTCGCTTCTTTCCCTCCCTCGCCTGCCCTCCCCCGACCTCCGCCTGCGGCTGACAGTCCACCTGAAACTTAACCTAGCAGGTTTGACCACGTGCTGGCTAAATCTGCTGAGTTTTCTTTCGCTTGACTGTAGAGGGCGGAGGGAGCGGGAGCGGAGAGGAAGAGAGGGGGAGCGAGGAGGGGGGAGGGAGAGATGGGGAGAGGGAGGGGGAAGGGAGGAGGGAGAGGAGAGAGATAAGGAAGAAAAAGAAGAAGAGGATTAAAGAGTATCGAAGAAGAGCAGGCAGAATACAGAGAAGAGAAATAGCCGATAAAAGTTAAAAGACAGAAAAAGAAAAAGAAAAATATAAAAAAGAGGACAGGTCAAAATTAAATAAAAAAAAAGAAGACAGACAAAGATAAGAAGAAGACGGAACCAAGACCCAACACACGACGAAAAGAAAAAGAAAAGAAAAAATAGGAAAAAAAGAAAAAAATCCAAAAAACACAAAGACCCCAAAAACACGAAAAAAAAAAACTAAAACAAAAAAAATAAATAAATAAAAAAAATACCCCCCCCCCCGACCCCCCAACAGAACCCCCAAGCCAGACAAGCATCTCCCTCACGCCTCTAAGACACTCACCATCGCCAATAAACAGGAGTAGATTATAGACACGCCCCCCTCCCCGCCCACAACCCGCCCACCAAACCGCCCCTTGTAGACATCAACAAACTTCACCCTAAACCTTTCATAAAGTCATAGAAAATGTAAACTAACATCGCATAGGCCTATGTCGGGCTAACATCAACACGTGGGAGTCTGCGTGTTGGCCTACCCAGCCTCCTCCTCCTCCTCCTCCTTCTTCTTGTTCTGCTTCTTGTTCCTTTTCTTTGTTTCTTATTCTCCTTGTTCTTCTTCTTTCTTATTATTNGTTTTGTTTTTTCTGTATGTTTAGAAAGGGAAGAGAGAGAGAGAGAGAGAGAGAGAGGATTGGGTGGATTTTAAAGCTGTATCGCGCATACCATTTTTGATTTGGTGTTCGGCATCGCAAAATTTTATGTTCCTTAATTCATGACAAATATAAGACAATGTATTATTCTATCCGTTTTTTTTTTTTTATTCACTATGTCCATAAGATGAAATTTATTAGACTCCCTATCAACACAGGTTATTCATTTTTTCCCCAATTTTTCAGTTGGTACTCTTCTTAGGGGGGGGAGGGGAAGGGAGGGAGTCCAAGTAAAAAAAATGTACTTTTCCAATAGGCTCTCTCTCTCCTCTCCTTCTCTACATTCCCCCCCTCCTCTCTCTCTAATTCTCTTCTCTCTCTCTCTCTCTCACCCCTCCCCATCTCTCTGCTCACTCACCTCCCCCGCCTCTCTCTCATCCCCCTCTCTCTCTCCTCCTTCTCATGCCCCAAGTTAAAAAAAAATATATACTTTTTCGTAGCTTTTCAAATGATGAACAAAAACAGATGACCCATAACATAAACATCCAAAATCAATACGCCATTTGAACACCCTTCTTTCTCGTTCAGCCTACCTCGCGTGACGGCTGCCCCTTTAACCTAATACACTGAAATGACCTTCAACCTGCCAAGTATTACGGTCTTATCAGCCGGGGTCTTATCACCGGGTCTTATCACAGGGGTTCTATGAAACCGGGTCCTTATGACCGGGGTCTATGACCGGGGTCTTTATGACGCGGGGTCGCTTATTGACGCGGGGTCTTATCACAGGGGTCCTTAATCAACAGGGGTCTTTATAAAGGGGTCTTATCACAGGGGTCTATCAACAGGGGTCCTTATGACGGGGTCCTTATGACGCGGGGTCTTATGACCGGGGTCTATGACGCGGGGTTTATGACCGGGGTCTTATCACAGGGGTCTTATCACAGGGGTCTTATCACCGGGGTCTTATCACAGGGGTCTTATCACAGGGGTCTTATCACCGGGGTCTTATGACCGGGGTACCCTTTATGACCGGGGTCTTGATGAAACCGGGGTCTTATGACCGGGGTCTTATGACCGGGTCTTATCACAGGGGTCTTTATCACCGGGGTCTTATCACAGGGGTCTTATTACAGGGGTCTTATCACAGGGGTCTTATCACCGGGGTCTATGACGCGGGACTTATGACCGGGGTCTTATGACGCGGGGTCTTATGACGGCGGGGTCCTTATACCGGGGGTCTTATCACGCGAGGGTCTATCACAGGGGTCTTATCCAGGGGTCTTATGCACAGGGGTCTTAATCACAGGGGTCTTAATCACGGGGTCTTATCACCGGGTCTTATCACCACGGGTCTTATGACGCGGGGTCCTTATGACCGGGTCTTATCACAGGGGTCCTTATCACCGGGGTCTTATCACCGGGGTCTATCAGCCGGGGTCTATCACCGGTCTTATCACAGGGGGTCTTTAATCACAGGGTCTTATGCACCGGGTCTATGACCGGGGTTCTTATGACCGGGTCTTATGACCGGGGTCTTATGAACCGGGGTCTTATGACCGGGGTCTTATGACCGGGTCTTTATCACAGGGTCTTATGCACCGGGGTCTTATCACAGGGGTTCTTATGCACCGGGGTCCTTATGACCGGGGTCTATCACCGGGTCTTATGACGCGGGGTCTTAATGAACGGGGTCTTATGACGCGGGGTCTTAGACCGGGGTCCCTTATCACAGGGTCTTATCAGCCGGGTCTTATCACAGGGGTCTTATCACAGGGTGCTTATCACAGGGGGTCCTTATCACGGGGTCTATGACCGGGTCTGATGACCGGGGTCTTATGAAGCGGGGTCTTATGACCGGGGTCTTTATCACCGGGTCTTATCACCGGGGTCTTATCACAGGTCTTATCACCCGGGGGTCTTATCACAGGGGTCTTATGCAACAGGGTCTATCAGCAGGGTCTTATACCGGGGTCTTTATGACCGGGGTCTTAGACCAGGGTCTTATGACCGGGGTCTTATGAACGGGTCTTATGACCGGGGTCTTAATCACAAGGGGTCTTATCAGCGGGGTCTTATCACAGGGTCTTATCACAGGGGTCCTTCCATCAGCAAGGGGTCTTATTCACGGGGGTCTTATGCCGGGGTCTTATGACCGGGGGGTCTTATGACGGGTTCTTATGACCGGGGTCTTAATGAACGGGTCTTATGACCGGGGTCCATTATAACAGGGTCTATCACAGGGGTCCTTATCACAGGGGTCTTATGCACAGGTCTTATCACAGGGGTCTTAATCACAGGGTCTTATCCACAGGGGTCTTATCACAGGGTTTATCACAGGGGTCTTATCACAGGTCTTATCACAGGGGTCTTATCACCGGGTCTTAATGACCGGGGTCTTATGACCGGGTCTTATTGACCGGGGTTCTTATGACCGGGGGTTCTTAATGACCGGGGTCTTATCACCGGGGTCTATGACCGGGGTCTTATCAACCGGGGGTCTATCACAGGGGGTCTTATCACCGGGTCTTATAGGGCAGTGGCTTCGAGGTCTAATTACTTACACTGACCTTGAGAGGGATCTATGATGATTTTCCTGAATCGCTGATTGGGCTCTTCCTTTGGCAGGATATATAATTGTTTTTACTTGTGCACATCTCACTATCTCTTTCTCTCTTTCTCACAATCAACTATCGTCTCTTTCTCTCTTTTTCTTTTTCTCTTTTCTCTCTCTCTCTCTCTCACTCTGCTTTCTCATCCACCCCTCTCTCTCTCACATCCCCCCCTCTCTTACTGCACATCCGCCCCCCCTCCTCTCACATCCCCCTCTCTCACAATCCCCCTCTCTCTCACCCCCCCTCTCTCTCTCATGCCCCCCCTTCCCTCTCTCATTTCTCTCTCTCTCTCTCCTCTCCACATCCCCCCTCCTCTCTCCTCTCACTCTCACTTCTCACTTCTCACCTCTCACTCTGCACTCTCACTCTCACTCTCACTTCTCACTCTCATCTCACGTCCTTACTCTCACTCTCATCCTCCTCTCTTCACTCCGCTCCCTCTCTCTCTCCTCCCTGCTCTCTTCTCCTCCCCTCTCTTCTCTCCCTTCCCTCTCCCTCTCCGCTTCGCTTCTCTCTCTCCCTCCCATCTCCTCATCTCCCTCCCTTCTCTCTCCCTCACGCTCCTCTCTCCCTCCCATCTCTCTCTCCATTCCCTCTCTCTCTCCTCCCTCTCTCTCTCCCTCCATCTCTCTCTCCTCACCTCTCTCTCTCCCTCCCCTCTCTCTCTCCGCTCCTCTCGTCTTCTCGCACTCAGCGCTCTTCATCTCTCCCTCGCTTCTCTCTCCCTCCCTCTCTCTCTCCCTCCCTCTCTCTCTCCCTCACGCTCTCTCTCTCACCTCCCTCTCTCTCTTCCCTCCCTCTCTCCTCGCACTCCCTCTCTCTCTCCCTCCCTCTCTCTCTCTCTCCCTCTCTCTCTCCACTTCTCCTCTCTCTCTCCCTCCCTCTCTCTCTCCCTCCCTACTCTCTTCGCCGCTCCCTCCTCTCTCTCCCTCCTCTCTCTCTCTTCCCTCCTATCTCTCCCTCGCCTCTTCCTTCTCCCTGCACGCTCTTCTCTCTCCCTCCCCTCTCTCTCTCCTCCCTTCTCTCTCTCCCTCGCGCTCCCCTCCCTCCTCTCTTCCCTCTCCTCTTCTCTCTCCTCCTCTCTCTCCACTCCGCTCCCTCTCTCTGCTCCCCTCCTCTCTCTCTCCTCCCTCCCACTCTCCCTCCTCTCTCTCTCCTGCACGCTCTCTCTATCGCCTCCCTCTCTCCCTCTCTCTCCCTCCTCTCTCCCTCTCGTCTCCTCCCTCTCTCCCTCTCTCTCCCTCCCTCTCTCCTCTCTCTCCCTCCCTCTCTCCCTCTCTCTCTCCCTTCTCTCCCTCACCGCTCTCCTCTCTCTCCCTCCCTCTCTCTTTCCCATTCTCTCCCTACCCTCTCTCCTCTCTCTCTCTCCCGTCTCTCTGCACTCTCTCCCGCTCACCTCTCTCTCACTCCTCTCCTCCGCTCTCTCTCCACTTCTCTCCCTCCCTCTCTCTCACTCTCTCCCTCCCTCCTTCTCACTCCTCTCCTCCCATGTCTCTCACTCTCTCCCTCCCTGCTCTCACTCTCTCCGCTCCCTCTCTCTCACTCTCGTCCCCCTCTCTCTCACTCTATCTCCCTCCTCTCTCTCACTCTCTCCCTCCCTCTCTCATTCACTCTCTCCTCCCTCTCCTCTCCTCTCATCCCTCGCCTCCTCTCACTCTCTCCCTCCTCTCTCTCACGTCTCTCCTCCCTCTCTCTCACTCTCTCTCCCTCTCTCTCAACTCTCTCCTCCCTCTCTCTCACTCTCTCCCTCCTCTCTCGTCACTCTCTCCGCTCCCTCTCTCTCACTCTCCTCCCTTCTCTCTCTCTCACTCTCGTCACTCTCCTCACTCTCTCACTCTCTCACTTCTCTCACTCTCTGCACCACCTAAACATCACTCACTCACTCACTCACTCACTCACTCACTACCTCAATCACTCACTCACTTCACTCACTCACTCCTCAACTGCACTCACTCACCTCACCCACTCCACTCACCTCACTCACGTCACTCACGTCACTCACTGCACTCACTCTCACTCTCACTCTCACTCTCACTCTCATCTGCACTCTCACTCTCACTTCTCTCTCTCTCCTCTCTCTCTCTCAACTCTCTCTGCATCTCTCCTCACTCCTCACTCTCACTCTCAACTCTCTCCTCATTCCTCTCTCTCTACTCTCTAATTCTCCCCCTCTCATTCCCATCTCCCATCCCCCCCTCCCACCCTTCTCTCTTTCCCTCGACCTCGACTGACCTTCAGAATCGCAGCGGGAAGGTCACGGAATCGTCCTCCTCGATGACCGTGACCCTGGGCGGCGGTGACGGGAAGGTGGGCGGGTTGTCGTTGCGTCCTCCACCTCCCAGGTCACGCCCACTCGCGCCGTCTCCGCCCCCGCCTCCGCTGAGACCTCGAGGGCGTGCTGGGAAGGGGGTTGGGGGTTGGAGTGAAAGGGGTGGGGTAGGGGCGGAGGGGGGTTAGCGGTGGGCGTGATGGATAATATTCGTTAATTTTCTTGTTATTGTTATTGTTCTTTGTGTTTGTT